AAAAAGATGGAAGGAAGGGAGGGAGGAAGCGAGGGAGGGAGGGAGAAAGAAAGAAAGAAAGAAAGAAAGAAAGAAAGAAAGAAAGGAAAGAAAATACACAGGCTGGCAAGATGGTTCAGCAGATAACAGCACTTGCCACAGAGCCTAACTACTTGAGTTCAATTCCTGGAACCCATATGGCGGAAGGAGAGAACCAGCTCCCACAGTTTACCCTCTGAACTCAACACACACCCTGGCATGTGCATGCCGTGGCACACACACACACACACGCACGCACACACACACACACATAAGTAAATGTATGTTAAAAATTTAAAAACTTATTGATTCCTACTAGAAACACAATCCTGGCTTAAAAAAATTAATGATCTGGTGTGGTGGCACATGCCTTTAATCTCAGCACTTGGGAGGCAGAGGCAGGGGGATCTCTGGGGGTTTGAGGCCAGCCTACTCTAAATAGTGAGTTCAAGGTCAGCTGGAGCTACAGGGAGACCCTGTTTCAAAAAGGCCTAAAGAAAAAAAATATTAATGCACATCTCTCCTATTTTTCCATCTCAAGGTAGCAAATGGATGATGGGGGTGGGGGATTCTTTTTTTTTTAATTTCATGTGTATGTGTGTATTGCCTACATGTAGGTAAGTGCACCCATGTCATGCAATGCCTGCGGAGGTCAGAAGAGGCTGTCAGATCCCCTGGGACTGGAGTTATGGACAGTTGTTAGCTGCTATGTGGGTGCTGGGATTCGAACCAGGTCTTCTGCAAGAACAACCAGTGTTCTTAACTGCTGAGCTGTCTCTCCAGCCCCAGGGGGGATTCTTTTTCCAGAAATGTTTAGCAAACAAATGAAACAATGGTAGAGCTTAAAATACAACTATTCTAGTGCTGAGGCGATGGCTCAGTGGGTAAAGTGCTGTGGGATGGTTAATGTAGATTGTCAACTTGACAGAACCTGGAATCACCTAGCAGGCAGGCCTCCAGGCACACCTGTGAGGGACTGTCTTGATTAGATTAGCCTCTGGCCATGTTTGTAAGGGATCATCTTGATTCAGTTAATTGCAAGGATTCACTCTAAAAGTGGACAGCACCATTTCTCTTGTTTGGGGTCCCTGACCACATAAGGGAGAAATCGTTGCTGTCTTCTTCCTGACTGAGGATGTAATGTAACCAGCTGCTTCAAGTTCCTGCCAGCATGACTTTTCCACCATGATGGAATATCCCTTCCTCAAACTGTGAGCCAAAATAAACCGTTCCTTTTTTAAGTTGCTTTTGTCTGGATATTTTATCACAGAAACAGAAAAGGTTGTAACCAAGACACCATGCAAGCATGAGGACTTAAGTTTACACTTGAAAAACCCAGGTTTAAAAGAGCTGGGCACGGTAGCACATGCCTGGAATCCCAGTGCTGCGGAGATAGAGACAGGTGGATCCCTGGAGCCTGATGGCCAGCCAGTCTAGCCAAATCAGTGAGCTCCAGGTTCAATGAGAGTCCTTGTCTCAAAAAATAAGGTAGACAGTAACTGAGGAAGACATTTGATACTGACTCTGGCCTCCACATGCATGTGTACATATAAGCATTCACATAAACATGTACACACACAAGAACACACACACACACACAACCACCACCACCACCACCATCACTACATATACAAACACAAAAATAAATAAAGATACTATTCTATAACTCCAGTGCCACCAATGGCTCTTAGATAGCGATTATCAATGGGTGCTAAAAATCACAGAGACAGACTAACTTTTGTTAGTCCCAACCAGGTATACTTAGCAATATAAACGGAAGTCTCTAGTGACTACAGTGTAGACTAGATGGATGATGGCAACGCTATAACTAAGAGTCTAGAAAGCCATGTGTGCTGGATAGCTGGTCAATACCTTGAGACCTGAAAAAAGGAACTTCAACTGGGGAATTTCCTCTATCTGGCTGGCCTATGGGCATATCTGTGAGACATTTTCCAGATTGTTGAGTGATATGGGAAGATCCAACCTATTGTATGTGGTGCAACACCTAGGCAGGTGGTCCTGGGTTGTATAAGAAAGAAGGCTGAGCACAGACAAGTGCAAGCCAGTAAGCAGCGTTCCTCTGGGCTCTGTGCTTCAGCTCCTGCCTCTAGGTTCCTGCCCTGAGTTCCTGCCCTGGCTTCTATAAATGATGAATTGTGATCAGGACATGTAAACCAAATAAACCTTTTTTTCTCCCCAGATTGCCTTTGGTCAGAATGTTTGATCACAGCAATACAAAGCTAACTAGGACACCAAAGCTACTAATCATAGATCTATGATCTTCTAGAGCTCATTTTTCCTATCTGTAACATGGGTGTGTTAACCTATGCTCTCACAGGGTCCCTCCACTCTCGGGCTCTAGGACTCTATTTTTGGTCACCTGTTTGCAACAGCAGTTCTTCCAGTATTTGTGTGGCTGACTTCCGCTGCTGCAGGGAAATTGGTCCCACATTCTTCAGGAACCAGAAGTCAGGCATCCTCCAGGACAGCCCCAGGTGCTGGGTGCTGATGACCTTGTCTGCATCGAAGGCCCTCTGCATTAGTCCCTTCGCCTCTTCTTCATTCATCAGCCAAATCTCCCGAAACTTCTCCTCATCAATAATGCTGAAGTGTCTGTGAAGGAGAATGACCCAACACAGACAGCCAACTTCAAGGCCTGGCCCCAAGCCCCACAGTGGTCAGCAGGGCAAGAACGTGAGGAAGATCCTTGCATCCTTTGCCTGACCCAACCTCAGGACCCCACCTAGGATAGAATGCAGCCATCCTAATAAGAAATTTTAAAAGACAGGTGGCATATGTGTAGAGGGACAGAGGACATAGCATGAGGGAGTCTTCAGTGCCCTGGGCTAGCTCCAGAAGAGCTGGTGATCTCAATAAAATCACTGCTTCTGTGTCAGTGCCAACTCTCCCTCCTACCCATCACCCCCACTCGAGGACAGGTCCTTAGGACTCAAGTCCCTGGAATACCTCATGGCTTTCTGTAGCTCCTTGAACTGTGACACAAGCCGTTTGTAGTCAGAAGTCAGAGACTGGTTCTCCTCCTGAAACTGCTTTATCTGCCTGGTGTATTTTGATCTCAGGTTGTTAAGGACATCGTGCAGGCTGACGGAAGGGGGAAAGGAGACACAGCAGCTAAGCAACAGGAGCAAAGCAGATTCCTCTCATCCACCTGACTCAGCTCTACCTTAAACCCAGGTGGGAAGGGGCAGAAAAGCCTCCACACACTCCAGAACCTGGCTCCTGCCATGACCCGGGAAAGGAGAGCAACAGGAAGCAATAGAAGCTTCCAGAACAAATGCATTCAAACAAAGCAGAAGCCAGGGCCCAGCCAGAGTCTGCTCAAGAACACAGCTGAAACTTCTTGTCAGGGTGCCAGAATCTAGCCCACCACACATGTTTAAATCATCTAGCCCAGCTATTTCATGATCATGATTTGGAGGGTAATCTCAATTCTGAAACAAGGAAAAAGTTCAAGCTGCATATCTCAAGCCTGTGACATATGAATGCTCCATCTTCAAAGAGTTGGCACTGTGAACAGGTCTAGTTGCACAGTCGTTCACTCATTCATTTATCTATCTGTCCATCCAACAGGAAATGATTCCTTTTGAACCAAGGACTTGTTGGATACAAAGATGAATACAAGTGTGTTTGCCAAAGACAAATGTTAGGAACAGTAAAGGGAACTGGGTGTGGTGGTGCATGCCTACAATCCCAAGACTCTCAAGGTAGAATCAGGAAGATCAGGAGTTTGAGGCCAGCCTGGGCTACATGAGAGCCTGTCAATAATAATAATAATAATAATAATAATAATAATAATAATGAGGAGGAGAAGAAGAAGGGGGAGGAGGGGGATAGGAGGAAAAGGAAAACCAGTGAAGACTAAGAAGTGTTGGGGGGATTTACATAGGCCCCCCAGGCTTTCAGGGGACAAGAGTGGCCCAATGTCTCCAGAAGAAGAGACAGTTATAACAAGTGGGTTCATAGCCAAAAGCACTGTGAACCCTGAAGCACCACAGCTCACAACTCAGTTCCAATAGGCTCTGTGGATAGAACACAGCCCACACAACACACATGGCAGACAGTGTTTGGGCTCAGGACCACACTTCAGTTCTAAACAACTAACGAGGCATCTTACCTCAGTGATCCTCTTGGACAGGACAGAGAAGCTGAAGGGTGATATATATTTTTTTAAGTTTAAAAAGTCTAGGAATGGGGGGGCCTGAGGCCAGGGGCGAGGCAGGATGGCGCCTAGAGGAAATGGCTGGCCAGGGCGTGATCAGACTTGTTTGGCGCCTAGAGGAACTGGCCAGAACATGGCCAGACTTGTTCTGAAGAATCGCTAATTGGCTCCTGTCATTTCCGTGCATCTTGGCAGCGCGTCATCACCTCGCAAACGCCATGCTGTGCTATGGAGAGGGGACTGCATACTCAAGTTCACCTTTAATATGATTGGACACTTGGTTGGGGAGGGGATTTTCCTTTGTGGTTTTGCCTTCATAAGCTCTGTAACACCTGTAATAAACGAGTTCCTGATTGACTGGCTCCCTGTCTCATCTGATTGTCTCCCGGGGAGGCTGTGGGTAACAGGCGGACAGCTCACCTCCCTTTCCCCAGCTCCTGTGTTGGGGCAGGATCCCTGACACAGGAACTAGAGGCTAGAGAGATGGCTCAGCGATTAAGAGCACTGACCACTTTAGCAGAGGACTTGGGTTCAATTCTCAGCACCTACATGGCAGCTAATAACTGTCTGTAATTCCAGTTCCAGGAGATCTGACGCCCTCTTCTGACCTCCATGAGCATTGCACAACATGGATGCACTTACACATATGTAGGCAATACACTCATACACATAAAATAAAAATAATAAAATTTTTTTTAAAAAGTCTAGGAACTGGAGAGATGGCTTGGCAGTTAACACTTACTGCTCTTCCAGGGGACCTGGGTTCAGTTCCTAGCACCCACATCAAGAGGCTCACAACTTGCTTGTATCTCCAGCTCCAGGAGATCTGACACTCTCCAATCTCTGCAGGCAGCTGCACACATGTGGTACACATAAACTCACACAGGCACACACATACACATAAATAAAAAATAAATAGAAATAAACATTTTTTTAAAAGTTTAAAGCCAGGCATAGAAGTAAGTGCCCAGGACTTGGGAAGCTAAGACAGAAAGATCACCACAAATTCCAGGCCAGCCTGGGTCATAGATTGAGGTCCTATCAGGAAAAAGAAAGGTCTGAAAAATAGTCCTCAGTGTAAGAGTGAATGTCTAAACATGTGTGAGGTCCTGGGCTCAATCCTTGGCAGCAGGAAAAAAGTTTCTAAGCTGGGCATGGTGGTTCATGCCTGTAACACCAGTATTTATGAGACTGAGGCAGGAGGACCAGGGGTTGAGGCTGGCCTGACTACAGAGTAAGTTCAAGGCCAACCTAGACTGCACAGCAAGAGTCTGTCTCAAAAACAAGAAAGAAAGGAACGAAGGAAAAAAAAGCTAACAAAAGGAGGTTCAACAAAAGTTCAAAGTTCTCTTTTTCTTTTTCTTTTTTTTTCCTTTCTCTTTTTGAGACATAGCCTGGCTCGCCTGGAATTAGTTATGTAGCCAGGCTGGCCTCACATTTGCAGTGATCCTTCTGCTCCTGCCTCCCAATACTGGGATTAGAGGAGTATATCACCATGCCCAGCTAAAAGCCCAGATTCTTAGTGACTGGTTAGAATCTGTAGATGAAGAAGTCTGCCATGTTCTTAGAAGACACAACCTCACCACACAGCCAAACCTTAACATGCTTTAATCTTGGGCTTCAGCCTTCAGAACTGTGAGAAATAAATTTCTGCATTTTGGTTTGGTTTGGTTTTTTTTGTGATGGGGTTTTGTGTAGCCCAGGCTGGCTTTGAACTCCTGATCCTCCTGTCTCAATTTCCCAAGTGCTGAGATTACAGGTATGTGCCACCACACTTGGCTTTGTCTCCTTTAAACTTGATGTCTTATTCTAGTCTGATCCTCAGAGCCTCACACAATGCTCTAGAACTAAAGAGCAATTCTTTTTAAAACTTTATTATTATTTTATGTGTATGTGTTTTGCCTCCATGTATGTATGTATGTGAACCCATGCATGCAATGCCCATGGAGGCCAGAAGAGTGTGTCAGTCCCCCTGGAACTGGAGTTAGGGTTGCTGTGATGTGGGTGCTAAGAACCAACCCCTAGTCCCCTGCAAGAGCAGTCAGTGCCCTTAACCACTGAGTCATCTCTCAAGAGACAATTCTTAATGGACAAAAGGCAGAAGGATGAAAGGAAAGAGACAGGGAAGAAGGGCAGGAAAGGGAAGAGAGGATGGGAAATTCTGAGCAATAGGTATCTTTTAGTGAGTCACAGCATCTGCACAAAGGCAGATCTGCCCACTGATGCGAGTCAGCCATACTGATATTATTTGCAATAGCAAAAGATTAGAAGCAATCAACATGTCCATCACTAGAGACTGATTAAATAAATAAATCTATACTGTGAAATACTAAGTAGATTTTTTTTATATAGGATCTCATATAATCCATATTGGCCTCAAACTTGCTATGTAGCTAAGAATGACCTTGAACTCCTGATCCTCCTGTTTCCATTTCCCAAATGCAAGGATTACAGCTATTACACCACTATGCCAGGCTTAAGGCAGTTTAACTAATCTGAAATCTCTGCGCACTATTATGGAGAGTTTGTTCTCTTGTTTGTTTTTCAGTACAGGGGAATTGAACCTAGAGCTTCTCACACGCTAGATAAGTATTCCACCACTGAGCTACATCCCCCTACTCTTGATTTTGAGACAGGGTCTCATGAAGTTACCCAGGCTGTCAATGAACTTACTCTGTAGCCCAGGCAAGTCTTGAACTTAAAATCTTCCTGCCTTGACTATATGAATAGCTGGAATTACAGACCTGGGCCACGAGGCCCAGCTAAAATGAAGGTTCTTTAAGATGCACAACAGTGTTTATAGAACACTGTCACAGTAGAGCAGTGGAGGAGGAATGGGAATATGTACTTGTGTTGGTAGACACATAAACAAATACCAGAAGAAACAAATTAATCATTCTTCCAGAGATGAGAAAGAGAAACAAAACTTTCTGTTCCTTTTTTCCTTTCTTTTCTTGAGGGAAATGAGGGGGAAAAGTAGAACTAGAAGAATATATTATGTGAAAAAAGAAAAAAAACAAAAAATCCTTGGGGCTGGAGAGACGGTCCAGTGGTTAAGAGCACTGGTTGCTCTTGCAGAGGACCCGGGTTCAATTTCCAGCACCCACATGGCAGTTAACAACCATCTGTAATTCCAGTTCCAGGGGATCCAATGCCCTCTTTTGACTTCCTCGGGCACTGCACATCACTGGTACACCTACACGCAAGCATTACACTCATACACATAAAATTAAAATAATAAAAAAAAAATTGGGGGGGGTCTTTTTGAGACCCCAGGAGACAGGGTCTCCCTGTAGCCCCAGCTGTCCTGGAACTCACTATGTAGACCAGGCTGGCCTTGAACTCACAGAGATCCACCTGCCTCTGCCTCCCGAGTGCTGGGATTAAAGGCATGCACCACCACGCCTGGAAAATAAGTAAGTTTAGGGAAAATACTTGACAAAGTTTGGGGGAAATATTTTTGGTTAAATACTCTTGCCTTGGGAAGACAACTTAAATACACTGTCTTTTAAAATAAAACTTAAAGAATTTGATCATATTTTGTATGTGTATGAGAGTACTGTGTGCGTAAGTTTGTGTTCATGTCTGTGCATATGTGTATGGAGGCCAGAGCTCAACTTTGGTGTCTTCCTCTATCACTGTAGACCTTTTATGCTGGTTGGTTGGCTGGTTGGTTGTTCTTTTTTGAGACAGGATCTTCCTATAGCTGTAGCTGGCCTGGAACTTACTATGTAGATCAGGCTGGCCTCAATCTCACAGGGTGTTAGGACTAAAGGCATGCCCCACCACAGCTGCCTTTTTTTTTTTTTTTTTTTTTTTTTTTTTTGAGACAGGGTCTCTCACTGAACCTGTAACTCACTGCTTAAACTGGTCAGGAAGCCCCAGAGATTCTCCTGTTTTCTATCTCCACAGGTGAGTACTGGGGATCAAACCCAGGTCCTCATGCTTGCACAGCAAGCACTTTACCAATTCGGCCATCTCCCTAGCTCCACTGTAATTATATTTTTATGGGTTTCCTCCCCTTCTGGATATTCCAGTACAGAAGGGCCCAAAAGAAGGATGCTTTCCCTGCTAACTTACCGGTTAATCTTCCTCTTCTGCTGGGATTTGATCACTGTGCTCTCTTCATCTCTCTTCTTCAGCACCTGGAAGTTGTACTCCAACGTCTCCTGGTTTCGCTGGTATGTCGCTTTCATCTGCTGAAGCTGTTGCTCAAGAATCTGATTTAAATTTAAGTAAACAAACAAACAAATAGACTAATCAGACCTAGTGCAATTTATTATCCCTGAGGACCTCAATGGTTTGTTCAAACATGTCAGAGGAACCTCAGGACAAGCACCTCAATCTAAATTCTTAGAAATTCTGTAAACATGGAGCTGAAGAGTCAGCTCAGCAGTTAAAAGTGCTTGTTGCTCTTGAGAGGACCCAAGTTTGGTTCCCAGCACCCATGTTAGGCACTTCACAACTCCCTGTAACTCCAGCTACAGGTACCTGCCCATAGGTGAACACACACACACACACACACACACACACACACACAAAATAAAATAAATATAGAAAAAAAGAAATTCTATCAATAGAGGCAAATTAAAGGCCATGGGGATAAAATACAAATCAATCATCTGGCAGCTAAAACTGGCATACACACAGAGGGAAGAGTGTTGTGAGAATTTTCAAATGCTACTAACCCTAACCCTTTGCACCAGACCCTTTAATGATATGAAAAGCTGCATTAAAAATGTCATTAAAATGTTACCTGATGCTGGGCATGGTGGCACACGCCATTAATCCCAGCACTTGGGAGGCAGAGACAGGTGGATCTCTGTGAGTTCAAGGCCAGCCTGGTCTACATAGTGAGTTCCAGGACAGCTGAGGCTACAGGGAGACCCTGCCTCAAAAAGACCAAAAAAAAAAAAAAATTTACCTGAAAGCATGATATTTTCTGTTTTGTTCTCTAGAATAGTGATCTTAGTGGTAAGCAACCCACAGTCATTTAAAAGGAGAGACATCTAATTTTTAAGAGAAGGATTTATTTTGGCTCATGGTTTGAGAGGATATAGTCCTTTACGGTAAAAGGCATGTTGCTGGGTAACTCCACAGTGGTGGGAGTGTGAGCCAGCCTGCTCAAATTGTACAATGATCAGGAAGGAGAGAAGGGGACTGGTCAATTTCCACTTGCTTTGTTTGTTGATTCAGCAAATGTTTATTGAGTGGCAAACAGATGTAAGCCCTTTTTTTGGATGCTACTGGGAAAACACTGCTGAAAAGTCATAGGCCCTGTCTGGGTCAGAGATCCATAAGCAAGCAGCAATGGTAAGCATAAACTCAGGTAAGCACAGGGTACTATGCAACCACTGAGAGGAGCACTTTCCTTCTTGATCAGAAGGCCTAGGCCTTGAGGGATCAGGAACAGCCCTGAGAAGATGGCATCCCCAGGTCTACTGAGGCCTGGATTAGTGGGAATTAGTGGGGTGACACTAAGGAGAGAGAGCTCCCAGGAGAGGAGATGCACAGTAGAAGACTCAGAAGCAACGGATTCAGGTGTCTGAGGAGCACAAGCAGTTAAGGATGCAAGGCAGGAGGCAAGGCAGGTTAGAGATGAGGCTGTCTGTGCAGCAGAGCCTTACCAAGCTGACTGTGCTCGTTAGTTTTCGTCAACTTAACACAAACTTGAGATACCTGGGGAAGAGGGAAGCTCAACTGAGAAATTTCCTCATCAGACTGGCCTGTGGGCATGTCTGAAGGGCATTTTCTTTATTGTTAATTGATGTGGGAGGATACAGCCCACGGTGGATGGTGTCATTCCTGAACAAGTAGGACTGGGCTATACAAGAAAAGTAGCTCCGCAGTCAGTGGCACACACTTTTAATCCCAGCACTCGGGAGGCAGAGGCAGGCAAATCTCTGAGTTCAAGGCCAGCCTGGTCTACATAGTGAGTTCCAGGCCAACTGAGATTACAGGGAGACCCTGTTTCTTAAACATATTTAAAAAAAAAAAAAAAAAAAGAAAAGAAAAGAAAAGAAAAGTAGCTGTACAAGCCAGGGGATGCACACCATGGTCTCTGCTTCAGCTCCTGCCTCCAGGTTCCTGCCCTGTTTTAGTTCCTGCCTTGACTTCTCTCAGTGATGAGCTGTGATGTGGAAATATAAGCCAAATAAACCCTTTCCTTCCCAAGTTGCTTTTGGTCAGTGTTTAAGCATAGCACTAGAGAAACAAAACAAGAACACTAGGGATTTAAGGCATCATCCAGAAGCTGATAGGATGCCACTAAAGACGTTAAGCAGTGGAGTCCAGACCCTGGAGAAAGGTCACTTGGACAACTTGTGGGAAAATGATTATAGAGGCCAAATGCAGTGACACACACCTGTAATCAGAGCCCTAGAGAGGCTAAGGCAGAGGGATTGTGAGTTCCAGGTCAGCTTGGTCTACACAGTGAGATCCTCAAAAAATTATTTGTGTGTATTCATGTGTGTGAGAGTGCACGCATGTGTGTGTGAAGGTGTATGTGGAAGTCAGATGCTAACATCTGGTTTCTTCCTACATCACTCTCCACTTCATTTATTTATTTATTTATTTATTATTTGGTCTTTTTAAGACAGGATCTCCCCAGCTGACCTGGAACTCCCTATGTAAACCAGATTGGCCTTGATCTCACAAGAATCCACCTGCCTCTGCCTCTTGAGTGCTAGGATCTAAAGGGGTGTGGTACCACACCAGCTCTCCACATTATTTTTTGAGACAGGATCTCTCACTGAACCTGGAGCTCACAAATCTGGCTAGGCTAGCTGGCCAGTGAGCTCAGAGATCCTCCTGTCTCCACTAGCCCAACACTGGCTACAGGCACATTGCTACCATGCCCAGCTTTTTATGTGGGTGCTGGTGATCCAAACTCAGGTCCTTATGCTTGTGCAGCAAGCACTTTACCAACTGAGACATCTCCCCAGTCCAACTACCTTTTTTTTGTTGTTTTTTTTTTACAATTAGAAAAGAGCTGGACAAATAAAATACAGTTCTGCTACCATGCTCCAGCCTTTGCTGAGTAGAAGGTGGGTGATTTAACATGTGGCTTTCTCCAAAGCCTTCTTCCTGCTTCCCTCTGCTAGGCTACAGACTCTTGTCAACGAATGCACAGAGAATGATTCCAGGCAGCTATTGTAATGCCTCTTGGGGTCATGTTAAAGAACTAGCTGGGAAGTGACACAGAAGAGGAAAACACAGGAAGATTGGGCAAGTTTGAGGATAGTCTGGTCTACACAAGGAGATCTTGTCTCAAAAAAAAAAAAAAAGTAATGAGATTTTTCCATATTGGCAAAATTTTATTATCATTTAATGACATAATACTTTTATGTACTCTTTTATCATATATTAAATAGTTATCATGTAGCATAATATTTTACTATTTCCCTATAGCTATGTATGTTGTTTTTATTAAATATTTATTTGTATCCTAGTTTGTTTCTTCATTGCTGTGACAAAATACTCTGATCAATACCAACTTGAGGAGGAAAGGGTTCATTTAGTTTACATCTCCCAGGTCACAGTTCCTCAGGGAGCCCAAGGTAGGAACTCAGGCCAGGAACCTGTAGGCAGGAGCTGGAGCACAGGCCATAGAGGAATGCTGCTTACTGGCTTGCTCCCCTGGCCCCTGCTCAGCCTGCTTTCTTATGCAACACAGGCCCACCTGCCCAGGGGTGGCACCACCCACAGTGGGCTGGGCCCTCCCACATTACTCAACAATCAAGAAGATGCCCCACGGACATGGCCACAGGCCAGTCCAATGAAGGCAATTGCCCAATTAAGGCTCCCTCAACCCAGGTGTGCCAAGTTGACACGAAAGCTATCCAGCACAATTTGTTTGTTTGTTTATTTATCTATTTGAAAGCGTCTCATTATACAGTCTAGGCTGGCCTCAAATTCACTATGTAGACCAGGCTGGCCTCAAACTCATAGCAATCCAACTGCCTCAGCCTCCCAAATGCTGGGATTACAAGGCACGAACCACCATGCCAAGCATAATTTCCACCTCCTTCTGGGGGTTAAATCAAGAGCTTCTCACATGCTAGGAAAGCATTCCACCACTAAACAACATCCTTGGCCTTTGTTTATTTCTTTAAGGTAGTTACTTAAAAGTGAAACAACTTGGTCAAAGATTCTCAGTAAATGGCTTTGCAAAGAGCTATTTATGTTCTGTGCGCCACTGGTGGAGTAGAAGTTCTCACCCCAGCATACCAGCTTGAGCAGCTTTCAGGTACGCCACAGAGAAAGGCTTGGAGTAGAGAGCAGGGAGCTGTCAGGAGCTACCCCTCCCCTTCCAGACCATGTCTAATGTTTAATGTTGAAATTTCTGATGTGAACAAAAGCCTTCAGGGCCCATGGAAGATATTCACAGCAGAGTCAGTTCATGCACAATGACCTTGGCTCTGCCTTCCTCTAGGGATGGTCCAATGTGTCTCCTAGGGGGTGCAATTCTTCACTGCAAACTAGTCATGCTGCTCTGAACATGACTCCTTCTAGGCATAACCTGTAGGTTGGTATCAGCCCACCAAGCCATATATGGGCATGGGATGGCCAGGGACTGGTCAGGTGGCTCATCACAAGTCCAAGAAGAAAGGCCCATGTTGGATATGACTATGTGCCAAAGCATGAGCAGACAGAGGAGGGTCTCCAGAGTCACTCCAGACAAGGAGATGACAGCAAGTGGCTCACCCAGTCATCTCTAGGACCCAAAGTGCATGAGTGTCTGCAAGGGTGGCTTCCAGAGACCTCATGCATCCCACAGATTTGCACTGAGTCCCTATCACCAGAAAAGCATTGCCCAGATCTATCTAGCCACAGGTCGGCTTTTATATTCATAATACAATGAGCATGTGAGGTTTTTTTTTTTTTTTTTTGAGACAGGGTGTCCCTGTAGCCCCAGCTGTCCTGGAACTCACTATGTAGACCAGGCTGGCCTTGAACTCACAGAGATCCACCTGCCTCTGCCTCCCGAGTGCTAGGATTAAAGGCATGCGCCACCACGCCCGGCTCGAGCATGTGAGTTTTAAATCAAACTCTATCATGTGAACTCGGATGCAAATTTTATTCTTAAAGACAGACAATAACATAAATACTATGTAAACGAAAGATGTATTTTCCTACATATGTTTTAAAATATATTTTGCCTTCTTTTGAAAATATGGTAGTGCTGGGTGTGATGGTTCATGACTTTAATCCCAGCACA